AATTTATTTCCGTCAATATATTTGGCAATATGTATATGAACTTTTTGTCTTCGAAAACTGAAGTGCTAGAATTAACATTTAACAATGATGCTTTTTCAAATGAAGTACTATATATATTAAATAGTGATGCATTTATCTAGAATATTCTATGTAGTTAAAGCTAAAAATGTTCTAGAGAGTTAATGGAAATAATGTTCTAGAGAATTCTCTACTAGAGAATTCTTAAGTAGAGACTAGAGTTATTAGAAGTAGAATACTCTAGATTCCTAGCATTTAATAAGGTTCTAGAATGATCCTCTAGCACCTATAAATATGATCCATTGTACTCATTTGCTCACCAAGCAAACCAAGAAACATCAATACAATATATCTTTTCTAGAGACAAGAGCTCTACTCTAAAACACCTCCTCTACACTACACCTCACTAAAATCACTTAACATATTCATATACCAACAACCTCTTCTATTTTCTAACAATATACATACGTATATAGTACTCCGTATCAAATCATTTGTTACAACAAGATGTTAGATCACTGTTAGAATGAATGCTAGAGATAATAAATAAAACACATTATACAAACATGTTTATATAGAAAACATGCATTACTAATATATGAGTTACTGACTTAATTACTGACATGGCTGTTTCAAAGAAAAATGTTAGATGCATTAGATATTTTTGGCTCATATAAAAATTGTGATTCATGTTAACAAGTAGCTATAGTTCGTGTAGTCAATTCTAATACGTAGTATAAAATAACAAAATGCATTGCTCTAATTAAGCTCCTGATTTTGATTGATTTATTTATATTATTTGATACAAATTAAATATGATACAACTTTTTAACGCACTTCACAAGATTTTCATGTATTTCAAGTGCTCTCATAATCATTGATAATTTTGAACGAGTAATACCCATTTTTAATTTTTTCGTGATAAAAAGTTCAAAACCATTATGCATAGTTCTGCTTATTTATTACTATTATATTAATTCTTATTGTACGTAATTATTCTTTTAAATTTTAATTGTTGATTTCAATCTTACAGGCAAGCCCAACCTGTTCAATCTTTATAGGCAAGTACTCTGGATGTGTTTGGCCGTATTATGGGACAAAGCCGACGATAAATACATTTTATGAGTACGATTCCATCTCACGTTTTACATTATTTTTGTAGTGTTTTCAAGAGCTATTTTTGTTCATGTTTTTAGTACAATTCTATGATATGTAGGCCAGGTTTGTGGGTTATTTGTGTGGAATGAAGTTAAACAATAGCTATCTTGTGTTGTCAAACGACATGAAAGCTGAGTTCTAGGCATAGGGGAAATGTGTAAACTTGGAATTGCTTTTTTCATGAAAAAATGTTTCTCTAAACTGATTACATTTAAAGTTATTTTTTCTTTCAAAAAACATCATTTTAAGTTAAAGTGATGTACCAGTTTGACTCGCATTTCAAGTATTACAATGATTTTATATGGAACAAAAAAAATTAAGAGTGTCCAATGACGACTGCCTTAATTACATTTTTTTGTTCAAAGAAATTAAGTGTCTTATATACGTAGTATTAAACTGCTAAATATATCCTCTAACTAGATTTTATAAAGATAATGCTGTTGATTTAAATCATACATCGTAAAAGATAATGTTGTTGATTTAAATAATACATCGTAAATTCGTAACATCATTTCAGTTGGAGATTTCATGCACAAGTAGCAAAGTTTAAACCATGTGATGGTTTGAACCTTGAGATTAAGAACGTGGCGGACCGACCTATAGTTATTTGGGCTATTCACCGAGCTTCTCAAATTGAGTCAAGTACTTTAAAATAATGATGTTATTTCGCAGATATAGGAATTATGTCCTTTAAATGCATGTTTTTTGTTTTTCTATTTCAATTAGGTAATAAAAAATGGCATCCATTAGTTATTTTTTAACATCCTTTTATGTGGCTTTGTTTATTTTAACGCATACTCCGTAAATGAATAAAAAGTAATCACCCCGTGCATCGCACGGGTATTATACTAGTACTACGTAGTAATTAAATAATTTGTGTTGGTCTTTGATCTTTCAATCATTAGAACTCTATATTAACGCAATTTATCTTTCAGATATCTGATTGATGGTCATTTATCTTTCAATTGTGTTATTTATATCAAAAGTTTTAAATTTATTAACATCTTTATGAAACCATCAATATACTCCGTATTTACTATTCGGCTGGTAGAATTGAAAGAAGGTTGCATTACTTGCGAGAGATGTTTTAAATTTAACTCAAAGCAACGACTTACATCATCTCATAGCTGATTCTCACATGGCCTCAATGGGGCATAATCGTATCTATATTAGGAAAATGTACTTTAGGAGTAGCCAATTTTTAACAATAATACTCCTTAAACTGTGGCGGGCTAAATTGACCAGAGGTCAAATTTAAACGACCGCCGGCGCACAACGGCACAAGTAAGTGACGCCCGCCGCCATGATGGATTTGTTTTTCTAATAATTGCCAATGACGCTATATATAAGTGAAATGCCCAATCTCCTTTATCCTTACCAATAATTCAGAGCACAAAACGTTAATCAAGCAATTCAGTCAACCGAGTGAACTCTGTTATCAAACATTCAAACCATGGATATCGTCTCCAACCTGTTATCTCTCTTCCTCTTCATTTCTTTCATCGGTTTGGTTGTAGCAATGTCCACAGAATGGAAAAGGAAGAGGTCCTTGTCATCCAGAGGCGCGAAGCTGCCGCCCGGGCCGTGGAGGCTTCCGCTCATCGGAAGCCTCCACCACCTCATCGGCGCATTCCCGCTCCGGCGATTAAGAGAGCTCGCCGAGAGACACGGGCCCCTCATGCACGTCCAGCTCGGAGAAGTCTCCGCCATCATCGCCTCCTCCCCTGACATGGCGAAGGCGATCCTGAAGACCCATGACATCGCCTTCGCCTCCCGGGCGAAACTCCTGCTCCCGGAGATCGTCTGTTACCGGCGATCGGACATCGTGTTCTGCTCGTACGGGGATTACTGGAGACAAATGCGTAAGATCTGCATCGTCGAGCTCCTCAGCTCAAAGAACGTGCAGAGCTTCGGCTCCATCAGGAGTGACCAGGTGTGTCGCCTCCTGGAAGCGGTTGCCTCCCACAACGGCCGACCGGTGAATCTGACTGAGCTCGTGTTCCAGTTCACGAGCTCAATGACTTGCCGGTCGGCGTTTGGGAGCATATTCAAGGAGGCGGACGACTTCATCACGCTCATCAAAGAGGTTCTCGCCCTGCTCGGCGGGTTCGACATTGCGGACATATTTCCGTCTCTAAAACTCCTCCACGGCCTCAGCCCAATGAGGCGGAACATCCTCCGGATCCACCGGAAGGTCGACGGCATCCTCAACGCCGTCATTGAGAGTCACAAGAAAAGCCTCGCCGCGGGAAATAACGGGAACGGGGAGTCCGGCGGCGAGGACTTAATCGACGTTCTCCTGAGGATGAAACGTACCGACGGACTTCAATTCCCGATCACCGACGACAACATCAAGGCGGTTGTGTTTGACCTTTTCACCGCCGGGACGGAGACGTCGTCGACGACGATCATTTGGGCGATGACCGAGATGCTGAGAAGTCCGACCACACTAGCCAAAGCTCAAGAAGAAGTCCGAAAAGCCTTCATAAACAACCCTTCATTCGACGTAAAAGACGTGGAAGAACTCAAATACGTCAAACTGGTGGTCAAAGAAACTCTCCGGCTCCACCCGCCGACGCCGCTGTCAATCCCGCGGGAGTGCATGGCGGAGACGGAGATAAACGGGTACACCATCCCGGTCAAAACATGGGTCATGGTCAACGTCTCGTCAATAAGCACTGACCCGGCTTACTGGGAGAATGCGGAGAGCTTTGTGCCAGAGCGGTTCGAGAATAGCGGCGTTGACTTTTTGGGGAATAACTTTGAGTTCCTTCCTTTTGGGAGCGGGCGGAGGATATGTCCGGGTTTGTCCTTTGGTCTGGCCAATGTTTATCTTCCTCTGGCTAAATTGCTGTTCCATTTTGACTGGAAGCTGCCCCGGGAAACAGAGTATTCTAGGAGCTTGGACTTAATGGCAACGCCGGGGATTACTGCCGGAAAGAAGGACGATCTTTACTTGGTGGCTACACCATACGTTCAAAATTCTTAATGTTTAAAGTTACTGCGGAAATGGTAGTACCGTTAATAGTTAGTTGGAGCAATAATGAAGGTCTAATTTAATTTGTACTCTTTTTCTTTGAAGCTTAATTTAAATTTTTACACTAAAGTACACTTTATAATCAAATTCCATCATAGAGTTATAACGATTTTACCCATTTTATATATAATCACTACACTTCCTTATAATAATACGGAGTAAAATCTTTTTTTGCCCCCAAACAAACTACCAGATGAGTTGCAGTTTGTCTTCTAAATATGTACCAATCCTGTTATACTTTTGTAGTGAAGAGTATACATTAGCCACCATCTTGCAAGTATAAAAATAGAACATAATACATGAAGTTTTGGAACTTGTTTTCGTGTTACCTAACCATATAAAGCATTCGGGCAAGTTACACATACTATTTTTTTAAAGCAAGGCTAACATACTATTAATACACTACTACACATATGAGATGTATAATAAGTATACATATTTAACATATTAATATTAATAGACCTCTATAATCCTACACTGCAGATGGAGTATTAATTGACATAACGCGGCTCAACAAGCTCGAATTTGGCAGCCGCCGTCATCGGCTCACGGCTATGCGGCTTACGCTGGTTAATTACTATAGTCCAAGCTTTGGTCCATGTAGATCTCCCACCACTTGCTCACAAGTGTCTTCATGTCCTCTCTGTCCATGTGATCTTCTTTTCCGGTGTACCTCCACGGCTTGGCGCCGTCCGCGCAATAGTGAACAACTTTGGCTTGGCTGAGCTGCACTTTGTCGGGATGGCGCCACAACATGTTGACCATCATATTGTACACGCATGGGATGGGCTTGCACTTGTCTTTGAAGAACATGTTTAGGAAGTCCTACAATGAGAAATGCCTCTTTTTTGAATAGCAAGCTAAGTTGGGTGAATGCCGATGTTTTCATTTGGAACTAAAATTTGTGGTCTGGTCTGATCCAGTCTAATTTGGTATGAAAAATGTATGGTCTCTGTGTATTTTATAACTAATTTTTTCTACGAATTTCCAAAAAACATCCTTAATATGGAGTACTAGTTTTTCTACTTTTTTGGTCATCAAATTACCCTCAATGCACACTTTTAACCTTTAAAGGGAGTGTTTGGATCTGATTCTTAAAATTGCTTCTGCTTCTTCAGCGAGCAGAAGGAGAAGTAAGGAGAAGTTGGAGTGTTTTGATGAAAGTGCAGAAGTACTTCTGGTCCTCTAGTTTACTCCTTAGAAGGAGCTGTTTTAGTAGCTAGGGGACTGGCTTATGAAAACTTATTCTGCTTCTGCTTTAAAAAAGAAGAAGGTGCAGAATCAGTTTCAAACATTCCCAAAGAAATAAATCTTAACTACTCAGAACAATCCGTTGTGTTCCTACCACCATCTAAGCAACTATATATAATATAGAATGAATTCATATAATTTGAAATTAAACACAAGACTATCAACTGTTTTCGTATACAAAAGTGTAAAATGAGTATAATATAAGATGTAGATAGATCTGTTAATGATGAAGCTAAATCATTAAAAAGAGGAAGACTTTAGTATCATCCTTTTATATATTCAATCATGCAATTATAAGGTGTCTCTTTTTTGTAATTATTAAAAATTACGGCATCACACTTGAGGCAAAATTATTAAAATTGAATAAGCCGTTTTATCTCAAAACGGATCAAATTTAATTCGTACCACTTAATAAAGGATGAAATGTATGAATGTATTGATATAGAACTCAAAATGATAAAAAACTATCAATTTAGGACCCGAATAATTGAATACTATCAATTCAATTAGTTATGTTAAATTAAAAAAATTGTAAAGATAGGTTTATCAAAATTAGCAATGCAATTAATATTATCTGTCATTCGAGTCATATACAGATACATTTCATCTTTCGAATCCTGGATTGAAAGTTTATTTATCTTCTAGGTCCTGAATTGATAATATTCAGGATGGGAGTGTTAACCTGCTCTGCGAAAGCAGTAGGAGGGGTGGCTTTGAAAGTCTTCAAAAGCTGGTTGTGGGTGGAAAGGATGGGCTGGAACACAAACATGCCTCCATTGAAATAAAAGGCAGGCCTGGGCCCCAATACTTCGGGCCAGGGGAGCGTCTCTGGGCAGGGTGGCCCGTCTTCCTCACACACACAGTCGGGAACTGCGTATAGATTCTCGTCCGGCAGGTCAAACAGATGATCTATGTTTTCGAACACTTGCGTGTCCGAGTCCAAGTATATCATTTTGCTGTATTCTGTAAACTAAATAACAAATAAACAAATAAATAAATGGGTTTTTACAAAAGTATTACTCCCTCCGTCCTATTTATATTGTCTCGTTTTATCTTTTCGAGAAGTACCACTCCAATTGTCTCATATCATATTTGGCAAAGTTTGTGTGGCTCTAAATCATTCTTACTTTATTCAAAGTTTGGCAAACTCACTTTTCCTAATAAGTGTGTCACCCTCTTCCGTCTCAATATAAATGGATGGGGATAGTACTAAAATAAAACTTATTTACATAAATATGATTAATAATTACTACAATGTAGCGTCATGACAACTTTAATTTAAAAATTGAATATAAGTTATTATGATTTCATTACTACTCTAATCACTACTCACATTTTTTGTTTCAATCATAATTGTGTAATTATTTCTATTTCATAAATAAATACGAACATTAATTAGCCCACATTAGATGATTAGATTTCCAAATTGAGTTGTAAATTTAACTTTTAAATTAGTCCATTAGATTTCCCAACTGAATTTGAAAATTGACTTTTTATGATTTGGTAACTTCATTGATGTATTGGTAACTTTATAGAAGTTTAAAATAGTTTTTGAAAATGTAAATTTTAATTGCTAAAATTGGATCATTTATCAATAAGATTTAATTTTAACATTGATTGGTAGAAAAAAATTGACTGCAAAATAAATTGATACCAAGGTAATACTCCCTCTGTCCCAAAAACAACTTCACAGTTTGACAATCACACAGATTAAGAAAATAAATTTGACTTTATTGTTGGGTGCACTGTTTTGCACTGTTTGAACACTGTTTGGCACAGTTGTGATGTAGATAATTTGCCAAATAAGGAAAGTATTGAAGTGTGAAGTTAATTTTGGAACATCCATTTAAGGAAAGTGGGAAGTTGTTTTTGGGACGGAGATACTATTTACTATGGGGATGTACATTTTAAATGACTATTTGAGTGAAAAATTTAGACCCAATTTTGTGCAAACTGCAATTCAGCCGTCACCTTTGACTCACTTTCATTCACTTTTGAAGCCTTTCACCCGTACTTTTTGCATTTTGGTCGGACTATCCTACTTTTGACTCATTTTCATTCGCTTTAAAGCCCTTTTGTTGCACTTTTTGCATTTTGGTCGGACTATCCTAGTATAAAAATAGTAAACGGTTTGTATCTACTTTTATATCCACTTTTATATCCACCATTTTTGTGGGGAAGTATTTTTTTCCATGAATCCCGGTCACAGAATTTGTCGTTGCAAATTATTTCTGTGAATCGGATTCACAGAAAAAAAAAAAGAATCCTTCACAGACATAGTACAGTGAGTATAAAGTGGGTATAAAAGTGTATTTTTCATAAAATTTTGGTGACATATAATTTTGGTACATAATTCAATTTTAATACTTCAAAATGTATACAGTTGCAAAATCCAAATTATAAAAGAAGTTACAATTGATAATCTAATTAAATGAATGCAATAAAGCTGTTTGACCCAAAAAAGTTAAGCAAATCAATTTGAGACAAGTATAATCGTACCGTACGTATGGTATGGTTACTAGTATTATATTCTTAAACAACTTGGCTCTCAAACTGCTCTCAGTTATGCTTTTAATCATTTTATAATAGATCCTCAACTTTAGTTTTATCATTTTAATCATTTTAGCTAGCCTTGCTTTTCAATCATACCAATAATTATTTATAGTTAGAGAATAAAAAGGCAATGTTGTGCTTTAGAATACAAAGACGTTTTTAAAATTTAAGACGACTTCTTTTGTAATTAAGATGCAACAAGTGCAAAATTAATGAAGCTAGCTAGCTAACCTGCCAAAATTGGAGTTTAGAGTAGTTGACAACATAATAATCCTTAGCAAACGGAGACTTGTACTTGTCCGAAGGGTACAATGGCTCAATTTCACGGACGAAGCAGCCCTGCGCCACCAGTAAGCGGCGGTGCTCTTCCGGGACATCCGGCCAAACCGCCACTACAACCGGGTAAGCCGTGCCTACTTTTCTCAGTCCCTTCACCAACCCGACCACGCCTTTCACGTAGTCGCCATCTCCGGCGAGAAACGTCACGTATGCCCGCCCCGCCGTGGGCCTGGCCGACACTACGCCGCCGTTGCTTGCATCAGGAGCCATTTTTTATGATTTATTGAAGGACTTAATTAAAATTAAATTTCTTTGATCTGAGGGAACTCGTAATATTTTAGAACTGCATTTGAGGGTAATTTGCATGAAAATTTTGGTGCATGACATGCTACATTTGTAGGGTTGCCAAAACCAACAGTACGATGTCGTTTTTGTGATTTCCAGCGACAAGTCGCCAAGCTGGCCGTTGGGGCGCTGCTCTACTGCTGCCACGTTTCAAGCCGGGTCGTCATCAATTAAAACAGCATTCGACCATATGGAGACTTAAACTTTTTTGCCACGTGGCGTAACCTAGTGATCTTGAGTGTCATATACTCGTACAAAGTTTTATCCAAAACTAGCACTAGAATATGGGCGAACATATGAAAATGTTAAGAGTGTAATGAAAATGAGTTTGTACTGTCAGATTGTATAACGTGAAAGAGAAAATTACCACTCTTATGATTAAAAGAACATGTTTTTCCTCATATATGACTTAATAATGTTTCATTCCCAATATGATACTTGCATAAGTCATGCACATCCACGCATGGGTTTTATTAATTTTAATTCCATTAGTGCCCCTAAATAATGAATGAGCAGTTATTTGCTCCTACAATTAAGGAAAGTATTAATTACTTTGCACAGATTGCATGAAAACCGCAGATTAGCATATTAATTGATCGGATCAATTGATAACCGTTTAAGGATGTTTTCTTTTGGACTGAAATTTGCTGGTCTGGTCTAGTCTGGTCTGTTTAAGTCTGGTCTGATCTGGTTTGGTCTGTTTAAGTCTGGTCTGGTCTGGTCTGAACTGGTCTGGTCTGGTCTGGTAAATGTCTGGTCTCTGTGTATTTTATAACTACGGAAGTCTGGTCTGGTCTGGTCTGTTTAAGTCTGGTCTGGTCTGGTCTGGTCTGTTTAAGTCTGGTCTGGTCTGGTCTGTTTAAGTCTGGTCTGGTCTGGTCTGGGACTGAAAACAGTCCAAAAGAAAACATCCTAAGAGATGTAATTGACTAATTGGCATATAGTTGGACTTCTTAAAAAAATACCTCCGTCCCTTTTTAATTAGTTTGTCAGCTTTGACTTTTCCAATCAAATAACGGATATATTGACCAAGCCGTTAGCTCACTCACAATGAACTTAAAGTTGTTTCTATACGATAATATGTTTGGGAATAATGGCTTACCATATTGGGTGTCTTAGCCTTCTATTTATAATAAAATAGAGTTATGAAGAATTACAAAATAAACCCTACTTATTACATTATTAGTTTCACGCATTTCCGCTTGAGGGGGGTGTATCAGCAACACAAGTTTTATCCAACCAATATTAACGGACTCTCCTGGCCGTTAACCTTGGCTGTAACTAACGACTTACATTAATATGTTGATGTATATCCTTTGTATTGTTTGTATATAAATAGTCATATGTACTGGGTGTAATTTATCAATTGGAAATACACAAAAGTATTCTGGAGTATATAGTTCTTATAATGCCACTTCAAAAGAAACTGGTTTGATGGATATTTTTGGCGAAGATTTACCAAAACTCGTAGAGAATGTGGTATGAATTTGGGTTCTGTCACGAACAATTTGACACGAAAACAAAATAAGAGTAATAATCAATAGTTTAATCTGTGCTAAATTCGTTATTTTTTTGTACATGTAGTTCAAGATGGTGGCTCATCTAAAAGTTTGGTATAGTGTATTACGAGTTATAACAAAATAAGAGTAATAATCAATAGTTTTGACGGGAACACTTGTTTATTCAACGTACTCCCTCGGTCCCTTATATCTTTACCCACTTTCCTTTTTTGGATATCTCATTAACTTTGTCACTTTCCCTTTTAAGTAAAGAATTCGTGATTCCAGTTAATTATCTCTCCTCTGCACAAACGTTAACCACACAGTTTTTACTTTATTAACCCCGTGTCGGTCAAACTTGGCAAAGTTATTAGGGACGGAGGGAGCATCTATTTGACGGGTATTTGGGTGAATTTTTTGATAAAGTTTTATGAGCATGTTCTTAATGAAGTGTAGATTATATTCATACAGTTTCAGTTTGAAATTTAATCGGGAAGTTAAATACATAAATTATTGAAAACACTGTCGAAATGTATATAAAAAAACGCAACGTTTTTCAATAATTTATATAATTAACTATTCAATTGAAATTTTATGAACATAATCTATACTTCGTTTAAAAATGCTATCAAAGTTTTATGAAAAAATTCCTCTCAAAAGGAGCTCAAATAGATAAGTTTGAATAGTGATTCCCGTCAAAACTATGTGAGGGGATCATTTCCGAACCAAATAATATGTATATTGATGCTAACATGTACAGTACTATATATAGAGAGATATTTTTAGAATTGCCAAACTCGTAAATAGGGGATGGAGAACTTACGCGAATATATCAAGGTGAGAACTCCTGTACCCATTTACAAAATGGGGTACCGTATCTATCATTCACTTGATTGATCTAAATAGGTATATCATTTTTAATTTAGACTTTAATAATTCAACTGTAACATTCTGATTGGTCCATATGGACAAAAGTATGGTACCTTATGGGTACTATAGAATCTATATCATCAATTCTGTACCAATTGCATTTTGTAAAAGAAATCATGGAATAATGTGCTAAATTCGTACCAAGTCCCTTACATTTTTGCAATATATGAAGTGAACATTAGCATCAATATACATATTATTCCGTTAATCTAAACAATTACTACGTATTACATAATTGATGTATACCTCTTAATACTCCATCTCTAAACTTTTAAATGAACCACGATCTTGCAAGTATAAAAATAAAATAGAACATAATACATGTAGTTATGGAACTTGTTCTCGTGTTATCTAACAATAGTATTCCACTCATTACACAAGCTTAACATATTAATAATATGATACAGATATGAGATATGTAAGATATGTAATTAAGTATATATATTTAATATGTAACATATTATTAATAGGCCCCTATAGCCCTAAGCTGCAGATGGAGTATTGACATAACGCGCCTCTACCAGCTCGAACTTGGCAGCCGCCGTCTTCTTCGGCTCACGGCTAAGCGGCTTGTAATGGATGATATTATAGTCCAAGCTCCGGTCGTTGTAGATCTCCCACCACTTCCTCACAAGTGTCTTCATCTCCTCTCTGTCCATGTGATCCTCTTTTCCGGTGTACCTCCACGGCTTGGCGCCGTCGACGCAGTAATGAACGACTTTGGCTTTGCTGAGCTGGACTTTGTCGGGATGGCGCCACAACATGTTGACCAACATGTTGTACACGTATGGGAGGGGCTTGCACTTGTCTTTGAAGAACATGTTTAGGAAATCCTACAATAAGAAATGTCTCTTTTTTTAGTAACAAGTTGGGTGCTTATTCAATTTTTCTATTTTTTTGTTAAAGGATTGCGTGCTTGACTTCAAAAATCAATAATACTCGTGAGAGGCCGGGTAATATTTTATGAATTTCTCGCTGAATTGTACCCAGGAGCGTAGCTAGGGGAAGAACAACCCTGACCCAACCCAAATTTTAACAATGTCTATATTTTTTAGTGTAAGAAATTATTGGGGAGGACCAACCCTGACCCAACCCAAATTTTAACAATGCCTATATTTTTTAGTGTAAGAAATTATTGGGGAGGACCAACCCTGACCCAATCCAAATTTTAACAATGTCTATATTTTTTAGTGTAAAAAATTATGTGAAAAGTTTTTAAAAAAAATATTATTTGTGTACCCAAACAAGATGGGCCTAACGAGAAATATATTTAGCCCCTAAGAATGAGAATCAATGCCAAAATATGTATACTTCCTATAACTAAAAATGTACACAAAAAATAACTATGGGTAAATTGCACCTAGATAATAAATGTGGGAGAAGTCTTTACCTGCTCTGCGAAAGCAGTAGGAGGGGTGGCTTTGAAAGTCTTCAAAAGCTGCTTGTATGTGGAAAGGCTGGGTTGGAACATAAACATGCCTCCATTGAAATAAAAGGAAGGCCTGGGCCCCAATACTTCGGGCCAGGGAAGCGTACTTGGACAGGGTGGCCCATGTTCTTCGCACACACAGTCCGGAACCGCGTATAAATATCCGTCGGGCAGATCAAACAGATGATCTATGTTTTGGAACACTTGCATGTCCGAGTCCAAGTATATCATTTTGCTATATTCCGTAAACTACAAAACAAACAAACAAACAAAAGAATTAAGAGAAATTTATGTATATATTACTAAAACTCATGTAACTCATGTTAATTCCCATAATATGACTAACCATACTTTTTTACCTTCGTATGGCCAGAAGGTGCAAATCCATGTTAAAATTGAATTAACCGTGGAATTAAATAAAGATTAAGAAACATGAGAATAACCATGCATCATATTTAGGCATGAAAATAGGAAAAAAAACTCATGGAGTCATGAGTTATGCGATAGGTAAATATCTCAAGAAAAGAATTAAATAAATACACGCACCACCGTAAATCTATATTTCTTATTGCTCAAACAATAATATATACGATAGTACTTCGTAGTATATACCAAAATGAAATGTTAGACTTCAATCAATTATACGTAGTAAAATTTTATACCAAAGTGAAATGTTATTTGTTTTGGCTTTTTTTTCTTTACTCCAGGGGAGGGATACGGCGGGCCTGAAGTAATCAGGTTGTCACTTCATTGAGTTTTGAATCAGAGACCTCCCGTAAAAGAGAGTGAGTCGGCGACCAGCTAGGCTGGATCGCTTCCTCATTTTGACTAAAAATATACGTCGTTTTGACTAAAATATATGTAGTACATAGTAAATATTTAAGTGTTGAAGTACCAGACTGCAAAAGTGCGAAATTTTGACTAAAAATATACGTCGTTTTGACTAAAATATATGTAGTACATAGTAAATATTTAAGTGTTGAAGTACCAGACTGCAAAAGTGCGAAATAATAAAGTGCTACATTAAGATCTTGATTACTTCTCTTGATCTTTAAGTATGGAACATCATTTCTTAACATGGTACACATAGTATCAGAATCAAATCGATCCATAACCAAAGTGTTAGCCCCTATAAAATAATGATGATCCTTATAAAAAACCACAATGACGAACTGATTAAAAGAATGAACGATGACACGATCAAGACGAAGTGTCTAATCGTGTAGTCGTGAGAATGAGTGTTGAAATCTCACATCGAAAAATAGTGAAATAATAAAATAATACGTAGTATATTAAAATCTGGATGACTCATCCTATCAGATTGACGTATTAGGATGAAAAATCATGCTTAACATAAAATGATTGACTACATAGTAAATAATAAAATGATTGACTAAATTTACAAATACTTGACTTCCAAAGTAAAACATGACTAATTAAAAAGGAGCAAAATGATTAGGTAACACTGACTAGATGCAAATTAAATAAGGAAAATTGTCCTGATTAGGAGTAAAAACGTTTGCATTTTCAAAATAGAACTTGTTGAGGTTTATTCCTTCAACCCTTGGACCCAACACGTAAGCCCAAAGATTTCGAGTGGAGTGGGTGTGTGGTTATCTAGCCCGACAACTATCAGATGAATCAGGAAACAAGAGTAATAGCAGGCAATGTAAATAGGTATTATTAACTTCGTAATAACTCCCCTAAGTACAATCTACTTGCTAAAAAGGGCACGTCGGCCGTTCGTCTTACAAGGCGATAGGAATGCTACTCGTAAGAATGCTGGAGCTAGTATGCTAAGAATAGAAAGTTGCCAACCCTTTACAATGAAATAAATGCTTCTATTTATACCCGCCAATGGGCAGGTGGCTGTACTGACGTGGCAGCCTGTGGACCGCTGGTGTCCCAACTACCAAATCTTTAGCATTAAATGCACTTCCCGCCAGAATCTAGGTTTCCCGCCGGATCAGTGGGGACGTTCGTCCACCCCGGAAGTGAGTTGGATTGCTCCAAGTGACCCTTGAGGGATATCGGCTGTTCGTCGCCTGGCCTTTATAGATACTCACCATGTGCACTGGGTTTTCCCCGATAACCACAGGCTTGCTCCGGGGACGTTCGTCGCCATCCCCGCTGGCCCGTGATTCTGCTCTTTGTCTCTGCACAGACGTTCGTCGGAATGAGCTGCTGGGCCTGAGTCCTCCAACACCAGACGTTCGTCCATCCTCAAGAGACATGGGCCTGTGGGCTGGCCTGGTTTCTAGCTGGACGTTCGTCTGGCAAAATGGGTTAGTGGGCCGGACCTCGGCTTGGGCCCTTAACCCAACACAAGTCCCCCACTTCTGATGTTCTGAGCATGCGCAGGACATAAGGAAGTATGAACCCCCCCGAAGTAGACGTCCGTATCTTGATACTTATGTTTATTGCATCTGGTGGAAGCGTACGCTCGTGGTCATGGTGCTTGACAGCTGTCGCCGGTTCAGGAAACGAGGTGACGGCTGATGTTGCGGCGGTGCATTTTCCCGAGGAGGTGTCATCATTACGTTCCCATCCCACGCACAGCGCGTGGCCGGGGTACGCTCCTTGCCACGTGTCGGCCCCTTGTTGGCTTCGCCATCGGTGTTTTCTCCTTTAAATACCGGGTTTTCCCTCTGAATTAGGGTTCCCAATTTCTGCTCTCTTGCTCCCGATTTTCCGCAGCTCTTCAAGTCTTCTTCTGAATCCGGCTAACCCCTTTGTAAGGTAATTTCCCCCCTCTGCTCCTTTTCTTGTTCTGATTCCTAGCCGAAATGACTTCGATGGAGATTTCGTCAAGCTCTGATTCCGGTTCGTCGGGTTCCTCCTCGGGCTCCTCTTCGGCCGATGTGAGTGCTCGCTCCCCCGGGAAGGCCAGCATTTCCGGGACCTCTGGTTCAGCCACGACGGTGGGGACCATCCGGGCTGATGGCGAGCCGGATAATGTGTCGCAAAGTAGTGGGAGCGACGCCGGGGACGGGGGTGCCGACGGGGCCGTAGATGTTATTGACGCCGTCCCCCTGAACGAGCGCCCCGCCGGTTATGATTCTGCAGACGAGGCCCAATCTGGCTCCGACCTGGAGGTGCACGATTTAGGTATTCCCATGGATGTGCAGAGGCACATTTGCAAGATTAAGAGTGTCTTAGAGCACAGGCAGTCCCTCTCCAGCGTCGCTATGAACAAGATTGCTTCCTTCTTTCCCCATCCGTTCGTCTTTAGCCATAGCGGGGCCGAACATGCCATGCGGCGTCGGCCGGGGATGATCATCCTGCATGTGGATTCTGTGGAGGCCGGTCTGCGGTTTCCTCTCCATCCCTTTTACGTGGAGTTCTTCAACTGCTACCAGGTGGTTCCGGCGCAGTTCATGCCCAACTCTTATAGATTTATCTCCGCATTCCTCGTGCGCTGTTCGTCCGCAAAAGCCGTCATATCGCTGGATCTGTTCCACTACTTCTACCGGGTCACCCCGCAGAATTCCGACGGTTACCTGAGTGTGGCCGCTCGTCCGAAGAGGAAGCTATTTGAGCACTATCCTTCCTCCATCCATGATTGGAAAAATAGGCTCTTTTTTCTTAGATATGACGGTCCTCCCCTCCCAATCCGGTGGAACGGCTACCCTCCGAAGATTGAGTCGCCGGCGCTGTCGGCCGGGCTGGAAGTGGAAGTGAAGAAAGTCCTGGAAGGCGGCGTTCGCCCTATAGGGGAATACCTGACCGTCGAGGCACTCTCTGAAGCAGGCATAGGTACCGCCCGTGTTCCTGGATTTCTTCCTCCCTTGGACGCTCGTCTCGGGGCACGGGCGGTCCTGTCCTCTGAGGTGGGTGTTCCTCCCTATCCCTGTTCGTCTTTTCATATTCTTGTACTTCTCTCTTGCAGGTCTCCCCCTTACCGCCGAACAAATGGACAATGCTGAGTGCCTGAGGAACAGGAAGGCGAAGATGGCTGCGGCCAAAGCGGCCAGAGAGGCAGCCGCCCATGGAGCCGGATCATCGGCCTCCGACGCCGCCCGTCGGACTGCAGACGGTGAGCAGCACCTGATTGCCACCCTGCTGAACGAGGGGGCCCTGACTCATCATGCTGAAACTGCTCTCCCCCCGCCGGTCGTTGCCACAAAAGTGGTTCCCAAGAAGGGGAGCGAGAAGGCCCCGGAGAAGAAAACGAAGAGGGGGCGAGACTGTGTTTCCTCCGGCCCCATCGTTGAGGATGTTAGCGGTCTATCCCTGAGCCGGCCGGCTGAGGAGCTTTGGAGGGAGCTTGGGGCTAAAGCTGGCCTCGAACTGCCCCCCCCGGTCGTCTTCCGAGGCGACCAGCGCTGCTCTTGCTGCGGCCATCCAGGTATTGTTGCGATTCGACCCATCTTGTCCCCTTGACGCTCGTCGCTTCGCCGTCTAAACTCTGTTTATCCCATTTTTTTCTTTCAGTCAGGGCTGTTGGTGCTGCAGGCCGAGGCTGCCAGGGATGCCGCCCTGCAGGAGGCAAAGATCAAGGCCGAAGCCGCCATACTGAAGGCTCGGGAGGCCGCCCGTCGGGCAGAGGAAGAGGCTGCTTCGGCTAGGGAGGAGCTTCAGTCCCTCCGGGCTGAAACCGGCGCCCAATTGGCCTGCCTGGAGAAGGCCGGCTTCAAGCTCATGCCGGTACTTCCGGCCCCAAAAGATGCCACCCCGGAATGGTGCATCGATACCTCCGGTTACCGGAATACCGGCGAGTTTATGGAGTCGGCCAAGGACTTCTGCGCCGGGGCTTTTGGTGACGTGTTCTCTCATGCTCTGGGGAAAATTCCGGCGAAGGACCGTCTGAGGTTCGGTGTGCGGCTGATGGAAAGCTCCCCCCTGTCGCGCCAATTCCTCTATGATTCTGCCGATAGCGCCTTCGCCGGTGGCTATAATGAAGGGATCAAGGCCATCCTCCCAATCTTCGAGAAGCTCCTAGGCCCTGGCGTCAACCCAGCCGATCATACGGATGACGATCTGCTGATCGAGGCCCTGGGGAAAATAGGGCGGGATAGACGCCGGGCGGCGGCCATAGCCATGGGGGATATCCCGGAGCCCCCAACCCCTGAGCCCGAGCCTCGGGAGGAGGAACATACTCATGCCAACAGCCGACCGCCGTCCCCCCACATGTGTTGATTTATTTCTTAGCCTAGATTTATTGCAGTACGTAGACTTGTAGTTTCCAGCCGATAGTGCTGAAGAATAAAGATCCACATTTTGCCAAAATTCGTTCCCTTTGTCTCTTG